CATCTGCTCGTCTGTCCTCTGCAGCTTGCCTGAGGCTGCCGGGAGCACCCTGTATCCAGGGCGCAGCTTTAACTGGGCCTCATCCCTTGAAAAGCCCCGGGTTGTAAAGGCACAGACTGAAGACACACACTCCCATTGTCTTCTCTCGCATGTGACTGTGTTTGACGCGCCTGCCTGCGTCCCTGTCAGCCCACGCCGGAAGCCACGCTGTCAGGCAAGGTACTTCTCGCTCAGGTTCTTTTCTTCCTGCTTTTAGTTTTTTGAAGTTTATTTTTTAAAATTTTTCCCCCCTTTGGATAAAATGTCCAGTTTCCTACCACCACCCCATCTAAATGGATGATGGGAAACCATGTTTCAAATCGTAACTAAGTGCCAGTGCATGTTAATAGTGAAACAGCATTATATCTGTATCCTTTTCACTTAAATGCATGTGTTTGTCCACCCCTGGTGTTAAAGGTGTCAGTGGGCACAAAGTTACCAGGCTTTGCCCTGTCCACCCTGCCTCTGCCACCGGCGGATACTCTGACTGAAGCAAGCACGCTGAGCGAGTTGATTCCCACATGGCTCCGTACAGAAGGGTCTTAGCGTTGTTCCTTACTAACTTGGGTCTGTTCATCAGACCGCATTGTCAGTCTCCTGAGCACCACGGCAAACAAACAAACAAAAATTGCCGACTATCACCTTGAATAGTAATCCAGGTGTTCTGCTTTGCAAAGACAAATGACTCATTTAGACTGAAGCAACAAGGCTGACTTTGAGACATTCATTGATTTTAAATTAAAAAATAACTGCTATGTTTTACATTAAGAGTGACAACTAAGTAACAGAGTAGACCATACTCAGTGTTATCTGCAGCAGCTCCATCGCACCGGGCCGAGAGGAAAGGCAGTGGCAGGTGGGGGGTGGGGGACGGAGGGTGAGCCTGAATGCGGTGCTCGTGCTGATCAATAACCCAGAGCTCTCAATGCACCGAGGCAGTTAGTTCTTGATAGAATTACTGAAATACAGCTAGCTGTTTTTCTTATGGTTCGGGCCTTCAGGTTCAATGTACTGACTTTATTAACTTTAAACTTTATTTCCTTTGAACGTTTTTCTCTTTTCCTTTATGTAGTTTTGTTGGGGATGAGGGAGAGGAGTTGAATAAAAATGTCATATTCAGTTTGTTGTGTAAAGATGCCCAAAAGGAAATTCTTAGTCCAGCAGATGAGAAAGAGGTTTAGAAGAGGATGTATTCCTGGAGTCTGTAAACAGTACTACAAATATTAAATAGTAAATGGTAATAATAAATAATGTAAAATATACAGTTTTAAAGGCTATTGACTTGGGAGAGTGATTTTAAAGCAATTAGAAGACTCCAGTTACATACAACCAGTAGTATTAATGGCCACAATGAGCAGCTACTATGTGTCAGACACTCAAGTATTTTTTTCTAAGTATTTCTTTAAAATGTATTTCTTAAGGACAATCTGGACTAACTTTTTGAGCTCAGATTGAGCTTTAAATGTATCTGATAGGAATAAAAGCAGGCTTTGTTTTCTTTTGCTTAAATAATCGTTAGCTTTGCCCCTTGCTGGATGGCCTCTCCGCCCCTGTGCAGCAGCTCGGTAGGATCCCGGAATGCAGAGGAGTTTCGTTGTGTGGTGACTTGGTGTTGCTATTTCATTATTATACCTGAGAGGAAGATCCCAGGAGGGCGTGTGTCCATAATGTGACAAACCTGGTCACCTTCCCTTCCATCAGCCTCACCTCTGCCAGCATCCCAGGAGTTGGTCATCTTTCTCTCCCACAAACTGACCTTCAGTGGGCCCACATCAGCTATAAAATCCAGACCCCTTCACGGGGCATGCGTGGTGTATGCGGCCCAGGACCCAGCTCTGGCGTTACCCCTCAGTGACACTCTCTGGTGACCCTTCAACAGCACGGGTTTGAACTACACAGGGCCATTTATACACAGATGTTTTTCCCCAATAAAAACAGTTCATGTACTTCCTCATCGTTATGATTTCCTTAACATTTTCTTTTCTTTAGTTTACTGTAAGAATACAATATATGATATTTGTCATACAAAGTAGGGGTTAATAAACTGTTTATGTTATTGATAAGACTTCCAGTCTATTAGTAGTCAAGGGTTTGGGGGAGTCAAAAATTATACATGAATTTTCGACTTTGCGGGGGTCAGCGCCCCTAAGACCCACAAGTTCTAGGGTCAACTGTAGCCCTTCTGTAATCACTGCTCCCCAGACATCCTGAACTATTCACAATTTTGACAGAATGCACTCATCATTTAGAAATACCTTCAGCAATGAGTGTAGAAAACCCACCAGCAGTGGCTTCAGCTCCAAGAATATTCACTGTGTTTGAAGAGGAGGATGGGAAAGTAGACAACTCCCTGGGTCGGCTTCCGCAGCTCAGTAACGAAAGGAGCTGGTGCTTCAGAGTCCAGATCCCCACTTTACTCCTGTTTTCAGAATGTAGCTGGGCCTCTCCCCAACCCTGCCTGGTGTGCCTCGCAAAGGGACGCTTGACCCCAGCCAGGGGGAGGCTGCAAGCCGGATGAGAATTTTAAAGGATGCTTTTGTACAAAAAGGTAAAACCCTGACTCTTAGGCAGATGTAAAATGAATGTGTGTTTGAGATTTTATTTAACTCATTAATTAATGAGGGAACCAGGCAGATGTTATAAGGGGTTCAAAGGAGAAGTCAAGCACAGATTTCTGTGGAGTAAGAAATACTGAAATTATATGAGCAAATGAATGCAAAACTGGCTTTTCTGCAGGAGAAAGGATTGTCCTCCTTCCCCAGGAAACAGTGCACCTGCATTTCTGGAGGCGAGTGATCTTCCTTCGCTTTCCACTGTCTATAACTTAGGGCTGTGGAAAAGCTCCCGCGACTGGAAGGGTATATTCTAAAAATATCGTTTTCCATTGAAGCACACATTTTTTCCCCCAACCAAAGGGAAAAAGTTACATCCAATGCAACATATGTAGAACTGTTACAAAGACTAAAAAAGTACCATCTCTTGTAACAGTTGCTAATGTGGGGTGTGCCCACCACAGCCACCCACCTCTCTGACTGCTTCCAGACCTCAGGGCTCTGTCTCCCCACCCAGGCCTCACGGCCTTCCCATGACAGGACCCGAACATTTCACTTGCTGTGTCTTTCTGTCTTCTCCCTCCAGGGCCCCAATTTATACCACCACCATCGGGTCTTACGCTAATAAGTCAGCAGTAGATACCAATAGATGCTTGCGGAATGAGTGAATTCATTCATTTTGGATTAAAAAGATGTGTCTTTTCTGATTTTATTTCAATTTTATTTTTAATATCTATTTTTAGTTTTAAAAGATGTGATCATCATAACCACTGATTTTCCTTGGCATTTTGTGGTGAGTCAAGACCACACCACAAAATCCATTGAAAATGTCACAGTTAGGCATGTTAATGACCATTTCAACATATATATGTGATATGTATACACACACGTATTTCTGTAAAGTTAGTGATGGAATGAAATAATTTTAAAGAATACTTAAATAATTATAAATATTTATTCTGTAACAGGAAAACACTATGTACTCAATACCAGGGGAAGAGAATACTGGACAAATGGCCATTTGCTCTTAACCTATATTGATAGATTTTCACGGTGTATCTTTGGTTGTGTATACCCCTTGAATTATCTGATCATTAACTGTACTTTAGTTTGTGCCTTATAAATAGAATTTAGATTTAGAGTAATTTTATATCACAGCTCCAGTTTTTTATAATATTTAAATACCTGAGTGCATGTGTATAAACATATATTTGGGTTCTTACCTGAGTTAATTTTTCCTTTTATTTATTTATTTTTAGAGAGAGGGATAGAAATATCAGTGTGTGATTGCTTTCACACGCCTCCTACTGGGGACCTGGCTCACAACCCAGGCATATGCCCTGGTTGGGAATCAAACCAGCAACCATTTGGTGCACAGGCCGGCACTCGATCCACTGACCCACACCAGCCTGGGCTAATTTTTCCTTTTAAATTTTTCTCTCGTAATATGGATGTTTTCCAATTGGGCCCTATAAAACTTGAGGATAATACCACATATCTCTATGAAATACTGAAAGAACACGACTCATTTATTTCAGCTTCATGACTGCCAGACACTGTCTCAGCCCCATGTCAGGGACTGTGATCCAAGGAATGAACAGAGTCCTTCATAGCTTGAAAAATTTGAAGATTTTAAACTCCTTTCAATGTTTGCATTACTTTGTCTTGAGTTCCAATGAGCCATTTCTAATTTTTCCAAAAATCTCTAATTTAGGAATACATGATTAGACAGAATAATCTAATTCTAACCAGTTCCAAGAATAGCAGAAGGCTCTTATATACCATGTCTTTACAAATATAATCCAGTATCACATTAGCCTGTTCAACAGCAGCAGACCGGCATTAATGCATTCATTCAAATTACGTTTCTTCACCTAACTGATAATTAACTGAAGAATTCTAATCATATGAATTATAAGGGAGCACATCACTGTTTCCTTCTTCCTATTTAAAATGTTTTAAGAGAATTCACTGCTGCATAATATCCTAAAAGAAATTGATCATACTTTTCCTGTAATAAATGTTGTTCTGACAGTAAAGCATTAGTAACCAATTGATAACCTAGCAACAATATTGTGATCTCTTTAGATAATTAATCTTAGCTATTTTCCTGTCAGAAGCAACAGTGCTTGATTTTATGTTGAGCCAGAAAGATTGCCAGTTTTGAAAATTAAAAAGCATTCCTTTTATATTATTCATTCCAGTAACAATTTATGATGGCGCATTTAGCCGCTGAACGCTTGTCAACAAACGTAATTATGTTTCGATATAAACAAGATTGGTGGTTTTACGATGCTGCTCCATCTTTGTTGAGAATGTTTTGATTTAGGTTCCGATTATACAAGCTGTGTATTTATCTATCATTCTTTTCCTCCTTTGCTAATACTTTTTTCTGATAATTACTCGTAGGCAAACAAGCATGCATTTAGGATCCTTGTGCACGGGAGATGTCAAACGGAGGAGGAAAGCCGCACCTCTGCCTGGACCTCCGGCAGCAGGTAAAAGGAAAAGGGTTCAGGGCTGAGCACACATGTGAAGTTCATAAATCAGCCAGAGTAAAATACAGGTAATTCTTCATCACTTGCGCCAAAGAAGAGGCACAGTTACAAGCAACTGTTCAATTATTTGCATTTGGTGTCAGGATGGATTACACGTTCCTTCTGTTGATTTTTGAGGCAGCTGATCAATAAAATATTTGCTACACACCTGCCCCAATGCAAGACTTTGTGCAAGGTATCAAAGAGCACAGAGACTTCAAAGGCTGTGTTTTTGGCCTCAAGAAATGTACAGAATTGCACGGGGGTGGGAAGGCATACATCGATGAAAAGGCAAACAACCTGAGAAGAAATTAAATAGTCATGAATACCAAAGTTTAGGATCAACCTCAAAACGCAGGCCTCATGTTGTAGCCACACAGGGATGTCCAACCTGTAGCCCATGGGCCGTATGCAGCCCAGGACGGCTGTGAACGCGGCCCAACACCAATTCGTAAATTTACTTAAAACATTATGAGATTTTTTTCTGATTATGTGTTACAGTGTATTTAACTTGTGGCCCAAGAGACTCTTCTTTCAGTGTGGCCCAGAGACACCCGAAGGTTGGACACGCCTGTGTGTAGCGGCTGGAAAGCTGGCCGGCAATGTCCCAGCTCTGCAGCGATCTTAGAGTCGCCCTTCCTTCCCGGACAATGTTAGCATTAGAATGAAAAATCTCTCAGCATTTCCACCTCGAAAACCAGTCACTGGGGAAGAGCATGTTATTCCAATGAGTGTGGCATAGAGAAAACCACAAGTGCTGACAGAGAGAAGTCACTGGACCAGAGGGGACAGAAAGCCTTCCTAGAAGGGCACAGACAGCTTGGCTGTGAAGGAGATGGATAAGATTCATGTGTATTGCCAAGATCTCATGCAAGAGCAAGGGTCAGGGAGGCAGAGATGGGGGAACCTGTGGTGAGGGAAAGCTGAACTGGGTATTATTAACAAAAGATGCCCACAGAGGAATGCACAACAATTAAAAGGATTTGTGATACAGGAAAATGACTAAGGAGAAAATGTTTTCTGTGAGATACCTGGTCAGTTACAAAGAAGAACAGCCTTGGTCTCTTGCATGGAATCCTTAACCATTCCTATTTTTAAGCATCCTCTTCATTGGGGACAAGTTTGTAGGAAAAGTTATTTTTTCCATGATTAAGTATAGAATATAAAAATAAGGTTCATGTCACAGGAAAGCAGCAGCAAGAAAGGAAAATAAAGTTTACATACACACACACACACACACACACACACACACACACACATACACACACTCCTGACATGGGGATTTCAAAGGAAATAAAAGATATGAAGCTCAAGTTCTCTGTTTAGGGGACCTAGTCCATAGCTCAACACTCAAAAATTGTAGAGTAATTTAAAATTGCAGCACTCACAACCCAGTTTTTTTCATCCATATAAAGGGCTACATTATGAAATTATGAAGGTTACTTAATATCTGATTTTCCAGCTGGACTGAATTTTCAGAAATTGGAAGTTAGAATCACCTGTTTGTAGAATGTGTGTCTTTCTATATAAAATAACTGTATTTACCACTCATTGGGTACCTACAATGTACTAGAAACTTTATTATTTTACCTTTGCAAAAACTTTATGAACTGGTTGTTATTATTATTTTCACTTTATACCACAAAGTCAAAATTCCAACAAGTGTCAGGATCTTCGTATCCCCCTATAATATCAAACGGCTGAGGATGTTTCAGATCTCTGTCTGCACGGCCCTCAAACCCATGACAGCTTACCTGTGGCCTTTTTGTAAGAATACATATGCAAAGCCTATCGCTTGGCATATGTTCACCTGAACACACGATTGTATATCTTAAGTTTCATGGAAGACTGATCATTGCTATGCAGAGATACAGGATATTAATTAGAATCCTTCTAACATATCTCTTTATATGGGAACAGGTTGCCACTTTCAGATCAAATGCATGTCATTAAGTTCTTCAATTTCAGTCTTTTACAAGGCAGGTGTAGGGTTCACGCATGTCCTTGTTCCAATCGAACGGTGCCCTGGATTCTCTTCTCTCTCGATGAGTCCAGCGTTAGTGGCAGAAACAGCACAGTCTAGGGAACATGACCAAAGCGCCCGTGTGCCGCAGTCAGGCCGAGAACACGCCAGGCCCCGCGGCTGCACCCGCGCCCCGCCCAGCGCCAGAGGGAAAGCGTGGGGTCGTCCAGGGCAATGATACAGCTATTTCTACAAGGTGGTCCTGATGTTACACCTCAGCAGCCTCAGAGAAAATCATTTATATGGAGTGTAGGTATAAAATTAGACTTTAGCCTAAAGCATTCAGGAACTTGTACCAGCATAGTCCATGCATTTTATCTCAAATCTGCTGTGGTTTTCTTAAGATTCAGGATTGTGATGACATTACCAGATTTTTTTTTTTTTTTTTTTTTTTTTTTTTTTTTGCTTCAAGGAATAAGATTCATAGAAGTTTAATGCATTTTTATAATTCCTCAAAAAATTGTGGAGCAGGGAAATTATGTTCTTCATTTCCAGTACATTTTAAAAATCCATGCATAACTGTTCCTCTCAAAGAGGAAGAGAATGAGATTATTTAAAAGACCTCAGCTTTTAAAAGAATATCTTCTAATACTAATGAATCAACTCTAAATTGAAGCTTATTATTCAGATTCAAGTAAGAAATGCTTTTGCATAAATACACTTTGATAATGAGGTTATGAATCCTAGATCATCTTGTCTCTGAAATTATAATTTTCAAATTCTGGTATTGTCAATCACATAATAGTCAGTTATATTTGTAAGCTGCCAAAGTTGAGCTAGCAAGTAGAAATAAAGAGAATTTTTTCACCTTTTTATAGTCCCTTTGTAGACCTCCCCCCAAAACACACTGAATTGAGATATATTTCCATAACTCCTTCAGCCTTTAAGTCAATATTCAATCTAAGCAGGAAAAATTCAGGTGAAGATAACTCTCATTTAAAATATGGAAAAGGTGTTAAAAGGCTGACAGCTTGAATATTGTTTGATGATCCCCTCTGATTTATATGTGAACTATTATGCAGTCCAACAGCAGGTTAAGAAAAGACTTAACAAAAGAATTGTCAGAAAATTATAAAAAGGCACTTTCACTTCCTAATTCCAAACTGGGTTTATACAATCATTTAAGACCCTGAAGATAAAGTTATGCATAATAAATACTCTTTTATGTTGTATGCATAATATTATGATTATGTTGTATGCATAATACTATTTTTAAAATAGGACACTTAGTCTCCTATGAAATTAATAACCCAGAATTTGATGATCTTTACCTGCTAACATGCTGAAAATTTTGCTCACCGCAGTTTAGTAGCAGCATGAAGCAGAAGTAAAGCCACTTGATAAGGCCACGGGCCAGCCAGCAGCGTTACTGCTCGAACATTTATTAATTGTGACAGGAACACCAAATTTATTTCAGTGCTTTAGCTTATTTACTGCTCTTTCACCTTTGTATTTTGTATTGACAAAGTAAAATGAATATTGATAAGGTTAGATATCGATTTTTAAATGTATGGCTTGTTCCCTGCCTCATTCAAAGTCACAGAGCCAGAGATAGTGGATGTCTTAGTAGCAAGGGATGTAGATTTACTATTTTAAAATTGAGAACTGTTGAAGCCAGAAGGTTTGCCAGCAGAGTGCATTTTATTGTTTGAAAAATGTCATCTGTAAAGGTGAAGAAGAGCAGTGAACAAAATAGGAGGGATATTAACACATTTTTAAAAGGCAGTCAGCAATGTTGGTATGGTCTGTCTTTTCGGTCGAAGTCATGGCTTACTGAGAATTGATAATAAAAAGGTTTAAATATATATTCCTATTGTGGCAATTACATTTTTTAAAAAAAACCTTTTGTCTACTATATGTTACTAAACTCATTGTTATCCAAAATTAGTACTTGCTAGTATCATTTGCTTTCTAGTGAAATAATATCATAGGGAAAATACTGTAGGAGGCAATCTTTTCTCTACATTTTAAATTATACAAAAAGATAACTATTGAAGGTTAATACCTCAGTATAGATATTACTCCAAGGTAACTGTGCTTACTTGAACATGCAAGTTCTTGGCAAGAGGCTGCATTGCAGCCTTTTATGACTTTTCAGCTTTTTCCCCCACGTTCTCCTGAAATTCTAATAATAAAAGAGTATTTGTGATTACTTATGGCATTAAATGCAGGTTTTAAATTATGATAACAAGTAAAGATTTTTAGCAGGGTGCTTTTAATTAAAAGTCACACTGAACATAATAAGGAATCGTTTGGTGCCGCCAACCTCCTTTTCAAGGTGCTATTATGTCTTCAGTTGCCCAAACGTATCTCACCAATAATTACACTTTCATTTTTTTTTTAATCACTGGATCTCTATGACCACTGTAAATTATTTTATCTCTTCCAGAATTTTAAAACAGGTAGTTTTTGGGGGCGATGGTTGTCATTAATTTGGAGACCAAGCTATCTCTGAACTTACTACATGGATCACCAAACTGCCTTCAGATACATGTTTAGGAGAGTCTTGAACAGCTCTCCACGACCATTCGGTACAGGAGACACTTAAGGAAAGAGTAAACACATGCACTCAATAGAAAACGATTGCTGCTCCTGCCAACAGAAACACTAAATGATGAGAAAGTCCTCATACCACATGCTGCCTGCACACGGCTTAACAGGGTGGAAAGCCTTCTTTTTAGAGGCACAGCTGAGAATGCAGGAAGGGGAATGTTCAAGACCAAAAATGGTCCTAAGCAGCCCCTCCCCCATGCCCAGTGTTGTCAGTGCCAGAAACCTCGAGGCAGGTGGGTTAGCGCACCCGCCCCACGGGAAGGGAGCCGAGCTGGGGAGCTGGCCTCATCGTGCGAGAACCTTGGGAGAGCTCAATACTTGGAACAGGGCAGACAAGAAATGAAACTCACCCACAGGCTCAGCAAGTGATGAACCTGCCTGCCACCTGGGCTTCAAGTAGAACACGGAAGCTTTATAACCAGGAGCCCACCCTCATGTGAGCTGCTAGTTTAAAACTCCAGCAGGCCAGAAAAGTAACATAAAGATTGGCCTTGGAGGCAAATGCAAAACCACTCTACAGGTACATGGCCTGGACCCCACACTTCCAGAATTCACCGCAGATGAAACCTACTGAAGGTGATCCCATAAACCAAAACTGAAGAAATTGGTTATTTTTTTAAAAATTCAAAAACAAATGGGAATAATTGCAAAATGAAAAGACATTTAAGAGTATTTTTATTTATTATGAAAAATTCTTGACAATTTAAACTCACTGGATGGGTTAAACAGCAGATTAGATACAGCTGGGGGGAAAACAGTGATTTTTAAGAGGGATCTTAAGAAAAAACCTAGAAAGGACACAGAGGGATAAAACTATGAAAATATAAAAGAACACTGGGAGACCTGAAGGAGACTGCAGTTCAATATCTGCTTAACAGAACTTCCAGAAAGAGTAGAAAGAATAAGGGCATGTACTATTTAGAAAAACATTGATAGATTTCAATGGTATCAGCAGTTTTTATAACTGAAGAAAAACATGAACTCTCCTCTGCAAAAAGTACAAAGGTTTTGTTGGTTTTTTTTTATTAAGAAACAGTAAATATAAATGAAGTCATACTTAGATACATTGTAATAAAACTTCAGAACTCCAAAGAGCAGAGCTGAAGAGCAGCCAGGGAGAAAAGGTATAACCTAGCAAGGAATGAGGTTGCACTGGCAGCAGCCTTAGAAAGAGGAGTATGGTCCAGAAGGTGAGGTCATGTTTTCAAAGGGCTGAGGGGAAAGAACAGGATCAACCTCATGTTGTATATCCAGTTAAACTACTTCCAGGCATGGGGATGAAATAAAGACGTTGTCAGGTAGACTGATTATTACTAAATTTAATACCTCGGATAGAAAAAAGGAAACAATACATTAAAATAAATATATCAAGAAAGAATTGGGATCAAAGAGGTTGTTCAATGTGCATAAAGCTAAACTAATACTGAATAAATAAAAATAATGATGAAGATGATTTATTTGGATGTATAAAAGTCAGATGGAAACAAAGAAGCAAAAATGTATAGAAAAAGCAATGTAAATGGCATTAAGTAACATAACAAAAATAAATACTGATATATCAGTAATCACAATAAATATAAATGAAGTAAATGAGTCAGTTAAATTTAGGGATTACCATAATGAATAAGACACAAAAACTCAGTATATGCTGTTTACAATAAGTGCAACTAAAACATAAGTTGTAATTTATACACCAGCCAAAGAAAGCTAGAGTAGCTGGATTTAAATCAAAGTGAATCCTGTAGTAGTTCAGGAGAGTTGAAATACGCTCTTCAGACAGACTTGCTCTTCTAGTTCAGTCTGGCAATTCTTACAGGAGTTTGAAATGTGTGAAGAGAATAAAGTCTCAGTCATTTGGGAAAAATGCGGCAGAAGAAATGACAGTTAAAAATTTTGGTGATGTATTTTAGGTTCAAATGTCAGTGAAACACTAAACACTTAGACTCGGCTGTCCTAAGTTCATCTATAAAGTCATATGTATATGTATATGTATATGTAGTCATATGTATTAGCAGAATCAATAACATTTCAGTCTGAGAAGGAAGACTGGAAGAAATAGCGATGCTGGAAACATTGGTAATCTCGAAGAGCTACAGGCATTATTATATTCTAAGTTAAACCAACCTTCCGATGTGTGTATGCTGGATACTGTCCTTATGCAAATGCAGGGAAGTTCATGTTACAATTCACACATAATCCAATTTTTAAAAATGATTTGAATCAGCACCTCTACCAAAACTGTTTATTTGTCATTAATTCTCATAGCAAGGCAATGCAGGTAAAGGAAAGTGTATGTATGCTTTTAGGGTAAGCTCAACCAAAGGCTGAATCTGGGCAATGTACTCGCTGTGTACACGGGTCGCTGTGCAGCGGTCAAGGCACCCCGTCTCTCTGAGGTCTGTTACTGCCCCGCTGGGTGCGTGGTAGACAGACCCTAACTGGCCCGGACTACATTATAGCAAATGAACATCCCTGTGCACCTTCAGAACCAACGCAGTTTTATTTTGAGATTTGTTTTTTAGTTTTTTGAAAACCTTATTTTTTGATACATAATCATTTCATATGAAATGTATTTCTGAATAACCAAAACATCTGTTAATAAAAACATTCCCTTCTCCAAACATGTCAATATAGATCATGTCTTTCATTCTGTACCAAATTTTTATCACTTCAGAAAAAAATACCTAGTTTTACATTAAATTTTTACTATTTTAAAATTGCCTTGAATTTTTAAGCAATTAACTATTTGAATTGATTTTAATTAACAAAATTCACATGAAAAACACCTGCAATATTGCTGATAAAATGTAGAATGGTCTGAATTAGTAAGGCTTAACTATAGTAACTAATGAAATAATAAAAAAATAAATTTGACAGAGTAGTGACACCTACCACTTTCTGTGCTTATTGCTGTTTCTTTCTTTCTTTTTTTTTTTTTTTTTTTTTGACAGTAAGGAAAAGCCATGTTCCTAAATTAGTTGCTGAGAACAGAGGACAGTGTTATGACTTGCAAGTTGAATGGCACCACCACCAATAACAGCAGCCCTGCCCCTCAGCTACCGGTGCAGGGGGGGGGGGGGGGGGGAAGAGGGAGGGAACACAGAGGAAGCCTGGCCCGCGTGAGGCCTTCTGAGCGGGGCAGGGACTCCTCTCCCCTTCCACGGGCTGTTTATCCAACATCAATACAACACTTTAGCAGCCAAATTACTAAACAAGCTGCCAATTAGGCTTGCAGTCAGCTGGACAGATTAGCAGCTAAGAGAGGCTGATACAAGATTTTCATCTCTTGAGCCAATTACGCAAGTGAATTGCCATCCACAGTAGGTTTTGGAAGATTGGAGAGGAAGGACAGACTCTGCTACCATAGTCAATATAAGAGATCCCAGCATGGAGAGAGGGCTGCGAGCAGGGGCCTGCGCAAGGTTACTGCTCAAATTGCCGGCGCGGGAGGAGCGCCTTCCAGGGAAGGACTTGGAGGATTTAGCGCTGCCAGGAGCGCAAGACAGGAAACTGTGCTCGGAGTGGGTGGTGCGGAAGCGGAGGTGTTCCCTCCCGTGTCTTAATCTCATAAAAGAGAAGAAAGGGAGGATGGGAGACCAGCAGTATGTTTCATTTTAGAGTCTTTTTCCATGAAAAGTGAAGTTTTTCTTTTAAGGTTGTATACAAAACCCACTGCCTTTTTTTTTGTTCCATTTTGCTTTTTCATGAATCAGTGTTTCTATGGAAAGACTTCGCATTTGAGAAATTTAATGTTTCTCCTATTTTGTTTCTCTTCAAAGTACAAGATAATGCTTCATTTTCTTTTCATTAAAAAGAGAAGCGAAACCAGCATTTTTTTTTTTAACAGAGATGGTGGATTCTTTCCTGTCTACATAAAAACACAACTCTCCTAAGCCACCGCACCTGAAGTATCAACATTTTAAAATCGTGCTAGTGAGTCCATTGCCATTTGCTGTTCCCTGTAGAACTGAACATTTCTCACACTTATGCAGTTTTTGCAGGAATGTTTTAAATGGGTCTTGTATTTTTCCTAAATATTAAATTTTAAATCTGAACTTCTGCAAGCCTGTGTATCATAAATATGATTAAATGGATCTGTAGCCTAGAACAGCATTAGAACCCTGATCTGATTTTAGTTTATAGAGTAGAAATCAATTAATTCACAGCAATCACTAAAAATCAGGGATGTGGGACCGAATGCAAGCACCCTGTTTAACCTACTGTAGCTGATCAGTAGCTGTTCAGTTGAAAATTAGATACCTTGGAGGTCTATCTTGGTCACCACCATAATAATTTCAAAATAAAAATTTAATGGCTTTTTGTGTTAGTATATTAAGGAAGTATTTTGATGCAAGGCTTTTACTTATTTTATTTTTTTGATAAGTAAAAGTTTCCTGTTTTACGTTTTATATATCAGTCTGTACTTCTTCATGGATTCACCTTTTATACCCATCCCCCAGCCCCCTCCCCATGGCAACCACCAGTCTGCTCTCTGTGTCTGTGAATCTGTTTCTATGGCACCAGGTGGAAACTGGGAAAATCAGAGGGAACACTCTATGAAGTGTGTGATTGTCCAACCACTACGCTGCAGGGGTCCAACCTTTTGGCATCACTGGGCCACCCTGGAAGAAGAAGAGTTGTCTTGGGCCATATATTAGATACACTGCAACACATAATCACAAAAAAAGTCTCATAATAATTAAGTAAATTCACAATTTTGTGTTGGGCCACATTCACAGCCATCCTGGGCCACATGTGGCCCAGAGGCCCCGGGTTGGACACCCCTGCATATAAAATAATACTGAATGTAAACTGTAATTGAAAAATAAAACAAAGTTCTTTTAAAACAGCAACATTAACAGGACTGTGACTATTGTTAAGGGTATAGCCAAGCTTCATTTTTCTTTATCCATTTAATAAACCCTTAGTAATTGCTGGGTCGGGGCAAACTTAATCAGCTACTAAGTGGTAGAGCTGACACTCTGACCAAGTTCTCTTTTTTTTGTGGATCTCTCAACTACAACAAGCCACCCCCGTCCTGGGTATCTTGTTGAAAGAAAAACTGTAAGAGAACATGGCTTTCTTAGCCCGAGATGCTCCCTACCTGTGCTAACTTCTTCTGTCACTTTATAATTTCAGGATTTGTGGGAGAAAACGCCCCGCCCATCTCAGAAAACAACGTCGGGAACCGGATGCTCCAGAGTATGGGGTGGACACCTGGCTCCGGCCTCGGACGCGACGGCAAGGGTCTTGCTGAGCCGATTCAAGCCATGCAGAGGCCGAAAGGATTAGGACTTGGATTTCCTCTACCGAAGGGCAGCCCTGCAGCCCCCACCCCCACCGTCGCCACCTCGGGAAAATCCGCCTAAGAAAAGCAAAGAAGAAACGGTCCACAGTTTTTACTTGTTCTCTCTCCATCCCATTGTTCTAAAATTATAACATAGCTGCTGCTCTTGAAGCAGAAATCTTTATACGTGGCCACAGACTTGTCACTCTAACTTCCTAACTACATACCTTCCTACCACAGTGATAGAAATGCAATTTCATCACAGTTCATGGTGCTAAAGTACACACCTTCCCTTTCCAATTTTTTCAGCAATTTTGAGCTGCTCTAGGTATAAATAGGTCATTTTTCTTATTTATTTTGGTCTTGTATGTCAATAATGTCTAATGCTTTTAGCCTGATTCATGCACACGTGTGCGTGTGGTACCCCGGCAAATGTGAGCACACCCATGGGTTTCTAAAGTGGGATAGGTCGGAAAGGTTGTGTGTCATGTCATCCACATGGAGGGTGACTCAAAAGACCCATCATTGCTTCAATGAAGTCCTCAGCAAATCTTTGATTGCAAGGTTTGTCGATTTTACATCTGTTGAGTTTGGCGTACGTGCGTGCGAGAGAGAGAGAGAGAGAGAGAGAGTGTGTGGGTGTATGGAGTCTGTAACAGGGAGAGTCACCCATTACCCTAACCTTGGACAATGTAGTGTGAAGTTCACAGGTGACCAACCACAGCTAATGTTTCCTTCTGACGTTTTGACAAAAATAAACCTCATCACTGCTATCACCAGAGTGCCCTCAATGTTACTTTAGTGCATATTTTATACATTTTACCTCATTTAGAACATAAAATAATTATTGAAAGAAAAATGTATTTTTTAAATTCATCATGACTGAAGTATAAATTCTATTATCAAGACTGTCTTCTACCTCTCTCTTCCCAAAGGTTGATTTTTTTTTTAAGATCAACTCAACTGTAGTAAACTGATTTTAAATTGTAACCATTGCTGTAAGTTAGAATGCTGAATCAATTTATTTGACGATTTAAATGGCTCTCCCAAGAATTCAGATTTCTGGCAATGATCCAACCCATTTACGAGGTGAACAGAAATGAATGGAACTGACTTGCCCTTCCTAACATCTTAGCAGTTGCTTTAAAACCACGCAAAGCAAGTCACTCTTATTATGTGCCTACTATTGCTTTTTTTGAACCGTCTGCTTCATTATGTCAGAGATTCTAAATTCTCTAGTTTACATGTTGATTTATTATCACCTTCATTATTAAGGACTAATAATAATATTCTATTTGTAATGACTTTTCTTGGTTGAGTAAAGGCCAGGATAACACATATGAATCGCCTTGACAGTGGGCTTTTTAAGGTTTGATTTTTGGGAGCAGTTTTAGGCTCACCACAAAACTAAGGCAAAGGTACAGAGATTTCTCACAATGTCCCCCACCAGAGCGGTACGTGTTACACTTTATGAGTTTACACTGACACATCATTGTCACCCAAAGTCCATAGTTTACATTATGTTGGCATTGCACATGCTATGAATTTGGACAAACGTATAATGACATGTAAGCACCATTATAATATCATACAGAGTAGTTTCACTGCCCTGAAATTCCTCTGTACTCCACTTTAATAGGTTTTTGAAAATTTGTAAACCCACAAGAGCGGTTTAAAGAAGGGAGAGGGGTTTGTGCATGTAATAGACCTTTCGCAGGTGGCCCCTCTGAAGAAAATACCGCCAAGCAGGAGAGGAAGGACAGACTCCTGTTGGAAAGCCTTAATCACTTGCCAAATGTATACATTTCTTTTAAGCATGATCTTCTTTCTTAGGGGTATAGTGGTAAGAGGTTGATTAAAGGAAGTGCAAACTACCAGCTGTGTTAATCTTTCGAAGCATTCTTATTGGATAAAGTAACTCTGCTGTGTGATTGCTTAGAAATTTGCCGTTTAAAAAAGTTGCCTTTTGTTAAATGGTCTCTTGGTGTAAGGGGAAAAGATGAGAAAGATCGTCTGTATACCTGTTTAAAACTTCTTCATGGTAGTTTATAGTGTTCTGGGGTCTGTCCCTAAGAATTTTTTTTCCCTTAAGTTCTGGAGATCTTCTAAGATTCTGGAATTTTGAAAAGCCACATCCAGAGCCACTGATAATACACAATGAGGTTGTTGTGAGGCTGACCCCAAACTCCTGACCACGCGGCTGCTTTCTGACTTCTCCAGGTTCTAGCACTGCCAAGGAAAAAAGAGCAGAGCAGACACCAAATGGCACAGGGAGACTCCACCATTAAATGCTGCTGTTCCCATCAATGCTTTTCCTCATTGTCCTTCTAAATGGGTACTGGGTACCAATCTTCTGAAGCAGCAAGTAGCTCACTGCACTTGGCTATTGTCCTCTTAACATACCACCCCCATAAAAGTGCAACTTTGTAGTTTCCACTAATAGAAGAAAGGTCTTAACCGATACACCTAGAGCCCGGTGTGTAGCTCACAGAGGACTTAATGTATGAATCAATACTCAAAGCCGGGTAGTGGCAACGCCACGCTCCCCCATGCCGTGTACAGACACACAAGAGGCACACACAACCTGCTCCATCCAGTTCTTAAGAAAAGTCAACGCAGACCCAATCTTCTGTTCGTATCTGATCTTAATCAGAGAAGTGAGCACAACTGAAAAATGGAATTTTTAATGCAAACTATGTATCTCTTAATATATGAAATCCACTAATTTATTTGTTATATATAGTTACAGTTAAGTTTTACCAGTTACTATGCCCATAGAACCCAAAGCATCCAAAGCAATTTATAATTAAGAATGTATCATTCATATCTCCTTGAAAAGGTAAGGTTTTTCTCTGCTCTTTCATAAAACCATTCTTCTACAGTATCTAAAGTCTCATATCAAGTTAATTGGTTGCGCTAAAAATTTTAGAGTACGTAAGTCTCTTCCAGACTATCCAAATCATCCGTTCCCCAGCAATAGCCAAGAAAGGCTGAGCATGAATTAGCGAATCAATTTTTTTGTCTTTATATACTCCTTATACTTGAAATTGACCCACTTGTGTGCTCAGGTCATTTCCTCCCTCCCTCCCTCCTTTCTTCCCTCCCTCTCTTCTTTCCTTCTTTCTTCTCCTCGAATATGGTTGTTAGGGCTATGTTTCCCTTAGATTTGTTAGCTTTTATTGTTAAATTATATGGTACTCTTTTAAAAGAAAATCCACTGCTAACTAAAATTTACCAATTGGTCTCAGCTTTTGAATACTATTTTTTAAAAAAATTATTTGAATTGTGGCTATCAAAGAGAAGAAAGGATTAAAGATAAACAATGTACAAATATAGGTATGTTTACAGACCTCATCAGTATGCAATTACAGACATAATTGCAAATTATTACATATTATCATCTATTTTAACATTGTGAATTGATAATTCTCATAATTAATTGAACTGACAATTGCTTCAATATATTTTCACTTTAAGCGATATTTCATAAAAGGTGACATGCATTTTAAAACCATTTCTTTCTGGACTTTGCCTTTCTGTAAAACAAAAAGTGATCTAAATTGGTATTGTTAAATGAAGTTGTTTAGCAAGGAATATTTGAGATGTTTTTGTTTCATTATTTTTTTGGTAGAAAGCTGTATTAATGATACAAAACAGAATGCAAGTATAAACTGAATTTTTAAGAATGTTATTTATAAGCAATTATTGTCTTTGTGCTTTAAATGTTTTCCTCTAAAACTAATAAAAGTTGAAAATACTTAAAAATTATTTTTAAAGTGCTAACCATTTACGATTAACATTTAGCAGTGCATTTAAATTCATTGTTACTTTAAGCCCTGAAAAAGGTATTTTCCAAAAAAATTTTAAAGAAAAAAATTGCTAAACAAATTTTTGATTTACATTGATTCTCAGCTTTTTGTGACTTTTTCTACCGCTTTTTCCTGTTTTTGTTTGTTTTCTCTGAAACTGGGCCAGACTAACTGCCTTAAGGTCTCTTTCCACTCAGAGACTCTAGGGTTCAAAAGCATCGAGTACAGGTCTCTCTCTCTTGAGATATTCCCACTTGAAATATCTCAGCCACTCCATTTCCTTCTCGGAAATTATATTTCTCATAAATATGCCTGGATATTTTAAATATTTTATAATACTCATTAAAGCGTTGAATTTATTTGCTCTAAGAAGCATCTCATTATGTGGATAAAATTTGATCTTTTCTCCCTAAAAACCAAGTAGGTCTTGCTGTAAGTGGACTTCTTTTTAATCCAATAGGTATTAAATACTCATTTCTTTAACAGGCTTGCAGTAATGTATACTCAACTGACAAGTGGACCATGAAGGTTCCTTCTGCCGGGTTCCTACTAAGCAAAGACTCATTACTTAGCACACCTGACGTTGTAAGTAGATCCAGATCTGTCTCTTGCGCGTTAGTGCCATCGACTGCCAGGAGTATGATGGACTGTTGCCACTTTCAGTTTGATCTGTGCATTAGAGCTGCCTCCTCTCTCTGAATCGTCAGTTTAAATCTTCCTCTCATTCACAGACCCTGTTCCCGTTGCACTCGCAGAATATCCTGTGTTTACCCCTTAATTTTTCAAAGATGAAGTTAGGTAACAATTAAAGGCTATTTTAGGTGGGTTTTTTTTTTTTTTAGTTTGAATTTTCAAAATAAATTACTGGCATTTTCAATGCGAGTCTAACACTTGATTTTGCAGCTATGCCATGATGGAAACAGGACTATGTCATGCTAACATCCTAAGTAAAAAGGACAGCCAAAACTACTGTCTACCTGTTTTCCACTTCCTATTACATTTCGAAGAAATGATCATTTCTTTCTGAAGACAGCATTCTTTAATAAAAACAGAAAGAATGAGAAACAGTTTACTCACTCATTATATACTTAAAAAGATGCTTTCCAAAAAGCAAACCAATTCTTACATCCCTTATTTCTTCCAATGCCAGAATTCCATAGTTATAATGAGCTAATGAGCTTAGGGAGAAAGGTAAGGTTCTGTGCAGAGGTTGTGTGGCTAACCTATAATTCTCAAGTTCTTGGTTGATGGCTTTCACTCACTATGGAAACAACATATAATGCATGTTGCATGTATGAGGTACGGAATTCACAACATAATTCTTCAAATGGACGCAAAGCACTTGCAAGCAGCCGTGCAAGGTGTGAAGTCACAATACTCCCATACAGTGGCTCTGGTGTCTTCAGGTTCTCATTCCCAAGTGTAGTGGTCCGGTCCTGAAGGCTTGGTTCTTGGCCCTCTGCATTTTTAAAGACCTGTCCTTTTCGGGGACCACTTCTAACCACCACCCCCCCTGCCCACACACATCTTCGTCCCCCGCCACTTATTACCACGGGAAAGCCTTCCCAAATGAGCCCCCCCCCGACCCCGCCAAGCACACAGGAAACTGGCCCATGCTGACTCTCAGGCCACTGTCCTTCTCCGCGAGGTCCT